ATCAAAGACAATGTTTAATCATTAATTTGCACTCTATCACAAACCTATAATCATTTTGAAGGACTTGTGGTGAAAGATACTCATAAGAGCCACATATCCGCGAAAGCCGCCGGTCTGGCTCTTCAGGTGATTCACGATAGCAGTCAGCAAGGCCAAAATCTGCTATTTTAAGTGCGCCTGGAATTTGCTTCATAAGTGATAAGGATTGCTTCTTAAAAATGATATCCTTACCTAATCTATCAATAAGTATGTTCTCAGGTTTAATGTCTCGATGAGCAACTGATAGTTCGTGTAAGAAGGCAAGGCCTTCAAGCAGTTGTCGAAAGAAATGCCTTGCAGCTGTTTTGCCTACTCCTCCTTTGTTCACTAAAAACAATGAGGAAATCATCAAAGATAAGATTTTTTGCAAATTACCAAAACTTACTTGCTAGTTCGAAGAGATCACTGCCATCTATATATTCTAAGTAAATATGCTTTTCCTCCTTTGCAAAGTCATCACAAGCACCATAACAGTGTACTATGTGACTATCACCCGATTTAGTTAGGGTTTCATGTAAAGCGACCTGCAAAATACTTAATAAATATTTATAGAACATTTAGGAGTTTTTTGAACTTTTATATAACCTAATTAGCGATCTAACTTCCAACATGGGCAATTATTTCTGCTATAAACCCGATAATTTTGCGTTAGTAACCCATTTTGATCGAGCTCCAAAGAGTTCTAGTTACCTACAGAGGACTATAAACCATGTCTTTCGAACCATGTATTTTATTAAAATGACTTATTAAATCCAATTTTACGGCCTACTTTAACTTCAACCTTGTTTTCTTAAATTTGGGATTACTCAAATATTCTTTCCATAGCAAAAGACCTACAAAGAACAGTTTCGATGAAAAAATGAAATGAATTTCTAAGAAAAAAAGGAGTTGCTTTCAAACTCCGAATGTGTGTCAAACTGAAATGATTTTACAGTGTCAAATTATCAGAGCTGTTAATGAAGCTTGAAGTCCGAAGCAATTGTTGCACATGCAACAAAAGCACTACCTAGTTGTATTTTGTTCATAGAAAGATATTAGATACCTGCGAATTCGAAAACCAAGTTAAAGAGCCACAAAGCGAAACCGGTGAACAAGACCTACTTCATATTCAACCTCCTCTCGTTGTTTTGGATTCAGCCTCGCCATATTGATTCGTTTCATGGCAACTTCTCGACGTGAGGACTTTTTTGTATTAAGTGGATTGCTAATCAAACTTACTTCACCAAAACTTCCTGGAAAAAAGAGCTACGATTTTGACCAAAACTTAGTTCAAAGTGCTCACCTGAGCCAAGATGCTTTATAACATTGTAACGAATTGGTTGATTCTCTGGGGAAGAACTAGATCGGTAAGAGTAATCGTCATCGCTACTAGTGCATGATTGAATACTATCACTTCGTGGATACTCTAATGGGTAGTC